CCTCCCAACACCCTTTATTTGGTGCTCCCTTCTCTATCTGAGCTGCCTTTTCCCCTAGCATGTGTGGCTGACCTCCAAGCCATGGAGCAAAATTCCTGGTACTAATCTGGAGTACTATGTAGCGGTTAGAAAAGATGAAGTCATGAAATTTGCATACAAGTGGTACTACATGGAAATCATGTTAAGCGAAATGAGCCAGAAAGAGAGGGATAGACATAGAAAGATCGCATTCATCAGGGGAAAATAAAGTAACAAAATAGGAGACTAACACCCAAGAATTACTGTGGTTTTGATGTTCCTTATTACCCAATAAATTATCACATTGAGTTAACTTTACCAACATGTATTTCAAACGATCTCTTGCAACTTTTTCTTCTTTCTTTATTTCTCATTTTCATCTTCACTCAAACTGACTTTCTCAAATGAAGAATTGCAGTCAAGAATTCAATCAATATTTCTTCCTTCATAGCCTTCCTCTACTAATCCACTCTTCAATGTCTAATCTCTTATTCTTCTAGATATAGGATATAGAATGAAAATAAAACAGAACAAGTTATATTGATTTCTCTATTGCCTGTATGATTAAGTTTAGATTCCTTTGCTGGATCTTTACAATTATACCCCCTAAAACTTTAAGTACTTGCAATTAAGTACTTACAATTTCTTCTGTTTTCCCTCCATATTAATGTTCCCTAAGATTCTGCAATAAGAAACAATTTTGCATTCTCACATTTGACATGTTCCTTCTCAATCTTTCAGAATTCTTGCACAAAATATTCCTTATTCTTTTTTTTTCTTTTTGGGCCACACCCAGTAATGCTCAAGGGTTACCTGGCTCTGCACTCAGGAATTACTCCTTGTGATGGTTAAGAGACCGTATGGGATGTTGAGGCTTGAACCCAGTCTGATGGGTACAAGACAAACGCCCTACCCACTGTACTATCGCTCCAATTGTCAAAGATTCCTTATTCTTAAGAGTATATCCTCTGGCTATTTCCTATCTCTTGAGCTATTAAATCTATTTCAACTCCCATATGTAAGGATTATCTATTATTTTATAACTTTTCCACCTTTTTCACTTTATGGCCTCTACAATGTTGTGTACAAAGCTGCTCCTGAGATTATTTACTTAATTGAGTCTCCTATTATATCATGAAATTCTTTGGAGACAAGGATTATGCCTCTTTCATCTGTATATTCCTACAATTTCATTTAATATAAGTAGTTACAATATACAGTTATAGTTATTTAATTAACAAATTATAATAAATCAGAGCTGTTTATGAAAGGTAAAGGTAAAGACCCTCCCGTTGTTCATCGATTTGCTCAAGCGGGCCCATTAACGTCTCCATTGGAGACTTTGTTGTTACTGTGTTTGGCATATCGAATACGTCACGAGGAGCTTGCCAGGCTCTGCCGTGTGGGCGAGATACTGGTTTCGGGAATTTTCTAAAGGTCTTTCCTTGATTTTCATGATTGATGTTCTTACATGTTGCTCAGTTCTCCTTATCTAAGTGAAAAGAAAAAAAAGAGATATTAGAAATATTTTAGACAATATTGATGACAGTTATAGTTGAAACCTGCCTTGATTCTTCTCCCAAACAAATAACAGCTTATTTGACTGTCAGAAATACAAGGTTTTTCAGATTGTGGCATCATAAGAAAATTAATTTATTGCATTTGGGGATCAGTTTAATAACAAAATTGATTTTCATCCTTCGTTAGCTAAAAAATTTGGTTTCGTTTTAATTTTTGTTTAGGTATAACAGTACTTAGAATATTTTAATGTTTCAGACGTACAATATCCCAGCATCACACTTGCAACCAGAGTCTCAGCACCCCGCTACCCTATCTCTATGTTCTCCCCGCTTTCTCACTCCACCCTGTCAGAAGATCACTTTACTCTAGCCATTGGCCATTTGTTATTCCCTTACTATGTTGCTTTCTATTATAAATGTGAGAGAGCCCATATTATAGTCATTCTTCTCTCTCTGACTCTGGTCAGAATAATATTTTCTAGTTCTACCCAGAACTGCAGGATTTTATCTGTAAAATTATTTTTTGTAACTGAGGGGTGTCTATATATCTATTTCATCTATATATTTCACAGTTTCTTTGTCTACTTATCTATTCTAGGGTATCTAGGGTACTAGGACTGTTTATAGATTTTGGCTACTGAGCATAGCAGTACAAATATTCTTTTGATTTAAAGTTTTTGAATTCTTGGAGTAAATGGCAAGCAGTAGAAAGTTAGGTTCAATAGAAACACATTATTTACTCCCTTTTGAGAACTCTCCATACTGTTTTCTATAGAGGATGAACCAGCAGCCATGCCCACCAATAGTATATGTGAGTTCCTCTTTCTTCACTCCCCCACCAGCAATACTTATTTCCAGTATTTTTAATATGTGTTTGTCTCATGGTATTAAGTGATATCTCATGATTTTGGTATTCTTTTCTCTCATTATAATTGGTGAAGTTCATTTTAAAAGTATACTTGTTAGCTACCTGTATGTCTCATTTGAGGAGATGTCTGTTGTGCTCATCTTACTATTTTTGGATTGGGTATTTTAATTATTGTTGCTAAGTTTAATGGTCTTTATAAATTTTGATGACTTTCTCTCTGTTAGGTGTGTGGTGAGCAACTATTTTCTTTAGGTCAGTAAGTTCTCTTCTTATTGTAGCTATTGCTCCTTACACAGTGTAGGCACTTTGTAATTTTACATAGTCCCATTTGTTTATTTTTGCTTCTTCTTTTTAAATGAATGTGGAGTTAATTGTAGTTTTACTGGTTAGACAATCCCTCTCCCATATATTTTGGTTTACCAATGTAACACATTTACAAATATATGCTCTTCAAAATATCATTTGCTTTAGGTTATGCAAAAGGAAGATTTTCTTTCAAGATGTCCCTCCCTCATATTATAAGCTACTCATAATATGAAATATTAACCAGTGGGATTTGAGAGATGGTATTTAAGCATGATAATAGCTAGTAATACTAATTCTTGGGCTCACCATAGATACTGTTGCCCTTTATTCTTAAACTTCAAGAGTCTGTTATTAAATTCTCACTACAGCATGTAGGAAAGATGGGCACTTATTCTCTAGAAGAGGCTAGAGAGGTGTAAATAATTTAGGCAACTTGTCTACATTATACAACTGTAAAATATTATAGCCTGGAATATTTTCAGACTATTCTGGCTCCAGTGTTTATACTCAATCACTACTACTGGTATGGTATAATTTAGTATTAAATTTCTATTCTCCATATACTACTGAGCTTTATCTGCCTTTTTAAGTCTTAGTTTCCTTTTGGATATTTTGGTTTTTCTTTCTTGAAAGCATAGCCCCCATTTCCACTTTTTTTCTTTATTTCCTGTATGCCACTGGTTAATTGCACCTTCAATCCCTCTTTGCTTTCTTCTTTGGAACAATTTCATTATTGCTTCATTATCCAGTGCACTGTGAATGCATCTCATTACATCTCCTCTCTTTGATCAACTGTTGATGTTGAGACACAAGTAATAAGCCAATAGCAAGTGCATACTTGTATCTATTATTCTTACCATTCGACTGGAAGGTAGCAATTTAATTTCAGGTACAAATCATAGAATAAAATATTGATTTATGTCTTTTATACTAAAGAATGAATATAGAAACTCTGATAAAGACAAGGATTATATAGTCAAGGAAGTACAGATTTGGTATTTGATCAATTGGTTTTATTTAAATGAAGCAAGAAGTACCTAAACAAGTAGACAGAAATCAACTCCAAAATAAAAATATCAACACTATGTTTATCAATTAATGTTATAATTTTGTATTTCCATTACAGAAAAATATTATATTTTGAAATATACCTTCTTCCGTGAATTAGTAGAACATTGGTTATTTATATTCACAATCATATAATGTTAGCTATGGAAAACCAAAAATAATACTTTTGACATTAAAACTGATCCCATAAAAAACTGCTTTTAATCATGTTAAAGATAAGTGTTAAATTACATGACTTTCTTTAAAAACAAGTCATATATATCCACGTCTTTCTTTTTCTACAAAATATTTCCCCTCAATTTTACCCATTTAAGAATTAACATTTAGTTATTGTCAAAAATAAATTGGGATAAGGCAAAGGCAACTATTTTTCTATGAATAGTCAGATATGACCTGAGTGTGATACATTTTGGAATAATATCTTGCTACGATGAATATGTTTAAGTGGGGTTTAGGTGTAAGAATTGAATAGGCTTTGACTTCTAGCAAAAATGGCTTAGTGAAAGTCTAATCTCAGGCCAAGATTTTATTCTAGCAAGAGGCCTTCAAAAACTAAGTTTCTAGAGGATACTTAACATGCAGATCTAATTTTAATGGGACCATGATTTAAAACAAAACAAAAGGAAAACCAAAATAAAACAAAAACATCTTTGGGACCGACCACTCATTTTGAAGCAAGTCCAGAAGAGCAGTGGGCTGATAAGGGTGCTGAGTGGTCACATCAGGCCAAGGGTCATGCTTGGTTCTGAATTATGAGCCAGAATTGGTTCTGTAGGGAACTGACTATAGTCCTTTATTCGAAAATACTTTCTTTCTTTCTTTCTTTCTTTCTTTCTTTCTTTCTTTCTTTCTTTCTTTCTTTCTTTCCTTCCTTCCTTCCTTTTTTTTTTTTGCTTTCCAGGTCACACCCAGCAATGCACAGAGGTTACTCCTGGCTCACACACTCAAAAATTACTCCTGGTGGTACTAGGGGGGGGGGCATACGGGATGCTGGAAATCAAATCTGGGTTGGCCGTGTGCAAGGCAAATGCCCTACCCACTGTACTATTGCTCCAGCCCCAAATATTTTCTCTTTATGAGCAATCTTAAACAATATTGGAGGTGCTTACAATAATTTAAGTGTCCTCATTAAATTACGTGCCTCAGAAATGACTTGAATCTATGTGGTTTTTATTCTCAGATACAGAAATGTAAAAACTGTTTTTGTGTTTAATTTTCAGGTTTCATCTGCCAATTTAACAAATGGTGGAAAATCAGAACTTCTAAAATCAGGAAGCAGCAAATCCACACTAAAGCACATATGGACAGAAAGCAGTAAAGACTTGTCTATCAGCCGACTCCTGTCACAGACTTTTCGTGGCAAAGAAAATGATACAGATTTAGACCTGCGCTATGATACCCCAGAACCTTATTCTGAGCAAGACCTCTGGGACTGGCTGAGGAACTCCACAGACCTTCAAGAACCTCGGCCCAGGGCCAAGCGAAGGCCCATTGTTAAGACGGGCAAGTTTAAGAAAATGTTTGGATGGGGTGATTTTCATTCCAATATCAAAACAGTGAAGCTCAACCTCTTGATAACGGGGAAAATTGTAGATCACGGCAATGGAACATTTAGTGTTTATTTCAGGCATAATTCCACCGGTCAAGGGAATGTATCTGTCAGCTTGGTGCCCCCTACGAAGATAGTGGAATTCGACTTGGCACAACAAACTGTGATTGATGCCAAAGATTCCAAGTCCTTTAACTGTCGCATTGAGTATGAAAAAGTTGACAAGGCTACCAAGAACACACTCTGCAACTATGACCCTTCAAAAACCTGTTACCAGGAGCAGACACAAAGTCATGTGTCCTGGCTCTGTTCCAAGCCCTTTAAAGTGATCTGTATTTACATTTCCTTTTATAGTACAGATTATAAACTAGTACAGAAAGTGTGTCCTGACTACAACTACCACAGTGACACCCCTTACTTCCCTTCTGGGTGAGGATGAACTTGGGGATGAGACTGAAGCCTGGAGAATTAAAGGTCATATGACAGGGCTGTTACCTCAAAGAAGAAGGTCACATCTGTTGCCTGGAATGTGTCTACACTGCTGCTCTTGTCAACCAGCTGCAAATATGCTAGTGGAAAACAATCTGATGTAATTTCTGCCCAGTCAGCTTCATCTCTCAATGTAGTTGCAAATCACCACAGATTTTAAAGCCACACTTGATGACATGCTCTCACACATAGATATATACACACACTCACATGCATTTCAGCTTGCACCTGTCATGATTCCTATTGAGAGGGCTTTCATTGTCTGACTCATAATAGTCCAGGATAAACTATCATCAAGCAAAAAGGATTAACTAGTCAGAGAATGGTTTCTAACACTTGCTGTTAAGAAATCTCTTTTGAAGTCTTGAGTACTTGGTAATCGATAATCTTCACTCATGCATTCCTATTGCTTGGAGTAGCTGTACTGGTAAATAATACTGTAGGAGTATATGCTTGTTAAAATGGAAAAAATGTGTCTCTAGAGCTCAGTATTCTTTATTTTATAAACACAACAAAGTGTAGTAATTTTTTCCCAGCATACAGTAGGCACATTCAAGGTGATAAGAGATGGCTCTCCCCTCCCCCCGCCCCCCATGGAAGGAGCCTGCTCCTGTAAAGATGAGCAAACATTTGGAATTTACATGTGGGAAGACACTGGATTACAACTTTTATCACCAATTATTGGACTTTTGCAAAATTGAGACAAGTAAAGGCCACTTAAAATGGGTTCTGATCATTATATAAGAAGGGAATTAACTGACAGACACCATGTAAGTTAAAGTGTCTGTCTTATCTTTACTACACATATTGTAACAAATTCAATATCCTAGTCTTCATTTGTATGAATGGTTTGTATTGTACATAGTTTAACCAAGTGTTATTTGAACTGCTTATTAATATTAACTTGTACTTGTCTCTCTGCTTGTTATTGGTTATAAAAACAATGGATATGAGGAATCCATTTATCACTGTAGCTGTGAACTCCATTAAAAAGGCAAACTTAATGTACAAAGCATTTATTCAGCTCAAGTATTGTTGAAATACAACATATACAACATTACAATCTGTCTGTACTTAGATATTTTATTTCTGGACAAAATGAAATGTACATAAAAATAAAAAGCTTAAAGTTGAGTTTCAATATGTATTTGTGTAAGACAATGATTTAAATGGTTCTGACAAGAAGAATGTGCTGAAAAAGTTATGGCTTTGCATCTCATGTCTCTAAATTTGTACAGAACTATCTAAATTTCTATTAGTTTCCTAGTCAAAACAATTTAGAGTTTCAGTCTCAAGCCTGAAAAGTAGTTTTGGCATACAGCATTTGCACACATTTTTGGTTTACTGCCATGCTAGTTATTAAAGAATACAAAAATATGAATGAACATAGAATATAAGTGATAAAATGAATTATATTCTATTACATTTTGTTTCCTATATGAATGTTTATTTACTAGATGAATCTAGGAGAAGACAGTGATTTTCTTCTTAAAATAAGTTAGATATCTGAAGATTGTGTCTGGCTTTTCCTGATTCAAATGTGATGACTTATCTCAAATGAGATGACTTAACTCAAATGAGAAAATTATGACTGTGATAGAAAGCATCAACATTTGATCTACCTGTATCCCTTGGAATTGTCTTATCTACATAGCATAGCTTGTGGGCATTAAAATTTTTTTTTAAAATAATTGCTGTACACAAACACAAGAAGAAATATGTAACCTTTGTTAAGGTCAGAGATTGGGGATGGAAATATGAAGTGTATCAAAACTTAGCTATACTTACTAACCACATCTCACTTTCTCACCTTCCCCTCATGCTGCATAGGAATAATTATATTTTCATATAGGGAATAAGAATAGAAGTACTACAGGGAAAAAAATCACAGACTGCTAGAATGAGAACTCAGTAACTTGGTTCACTAAAGAGAGTCTTTTGCTGAATGTTAAAGACATGTCATCCTGTCAAGTATCCATCTCTCAAAATCCTTAAATTTCTCTAGACAACCATCTATATAAACATATCAATTTATTTGTCATAGAATTTAGAATATAATGTTAAATTAGCTTTTCTATGGTACATCAAGCAATAAAATTTTGTGAGTTACAGCAATCGGACACACTTGCTACAGATATTTTTTTTATCCTAGGGTTCATTTATCAAAGGAACTACTAAAAAGGTACTGTGTTCTTCAAATTTTTGAATTTGATTAGTGGATGTTGACTTTCATTATGTGGCCTAATTTGTGGTTTTGTATTCCATAATTTAAGATCAAAATGAGTTTCTATCTATACCTGTTTTTCCTTGGTAATATTTTCTTGAAATGTTGATTTTCTCCCTTTACACATATTCAGACATAGCTAACTCCCATGATATGGGCTGAATTATTTAGAATACACCAGGTATCCACTAAGGAATTCAAATTTTAAAATTTGATTTCAATATTTTTCTGCACAGATTATTTCAAGTTTCTGTATCATCTATTCCTCCATGTAACATAATAACTTTAGAATAACATGATAATTTTAAACTTTAATTCAAAAATTGTTTTCATATCTAATATATATTCTATTTTAGACAAAGAAATGAGTGAGTGAGATGAAGAATATGAAATTTCAAAAGATCAGATTTAAAACTTTATTAGGTCAACTTGTTACTTCTTCAAATTACTTAATTAAGTTTTAATTATTCCAAAAAATAATTTTTCATCTGAGAATATAAATTTTAAGGTGCATGATTGATATAATCTTATTTAAAACTTAAATCTTAAAGTGTTATTTCATACCTTTGCTTAAATATAGGGAAAACACATCAATGAGGAAATAGTATCTGAAATAAACATTGGTTTAAAATGACCTATTGTTTTTTAAATAACATTTTTAGTAAGAATGAAACTATTATGGAGAAATTATTATTTCAGCTTTTTGCCTCCGAAGAAAGATAATACAAGTTATTGGTTTATTTTTTTAAGATAGAATCAATGAGTTGTCATGGTATTGATTCAATTGGGAACCTTTGATCCATATTTCCTATGAAAATTTCTCTACATGAGTGGAAGTTGTGTGACTGTTAATAACAATACAATGTTCTGGAAGTGATTATTTTGCAAGTAATTGAGATACTTGTTAAATATAAGGTTGTGGAGTGGGAACCTTTAGGTTCCTATATTTCAGCAATAAAGTGTAAGCCATATTTTTGCACAGAATAGATTAAAAAATCATGAGAAGCCTGAGAAAGTGTTTGTCTTTTCCCTTTTCTGAACTGCTTTACATGTAAGAAGCGCTTAACCAATATAAACAGCTCTTTGGGAAGTAATTTGCATCTCTACCATCAACTTTGAATGCCAAGTTTCAGTCTGAATTCAAATGACTGTGTATAAATCCTTGAAAGACTTGATTGATGTACCAGTTTTAGACTTTAAAAGTCTTTTTATTCAAGGATCAATTTATTTTATACTTACCTTTATATTTTTATTTAACTAAAGACCAGCAGACTTATTCAAAAACTAAACCTTTAAAAATATTAATTTGCATTCAAATGATTACTATTTACTTAGTTTGTAGGTGACTAAAGTTGAGTACCTTAATAACCAAAATTGAATTTTGAAAACCTGATTGCTAAGTCAAGCTTTTCTCAGGAGTTCCATGCATATCAAAGAATTATTTTGGGAGTTGGGAACGCAAAAAAAGACAATGATTTAAAGCATTTTAAAGATTGTTAAAGGTGTGATATATTATTGGGTTTTATATTTAATATAAAAGATATATATTTAGCTAACAAATTTATATTTATTAATTTAAACAGGATGAAAATAGTCATAATTTCCATGATAGAGCATGTTTATGAATAATGTCTATAATTAACCTAAAATTAGAAAGTGAACTACTAGTGCCAAATGTTTCAAGTTTGTCCTGAAAACTTCAGTATTTATACTTCACAATTTCAGGAATATGCCTTTGGATAAATGATGAAGTGAAGGGTGACTCTAAAAAGTGATGGATACAATAGGTTCCCTTGGCAATGTAATAGCTATTGCCTTTGGAAATTTACTTAGAGTTGCCCAGTTATAAACTGTGACTTAGTAAAACATCGGAAGCTGTATTCTCATTATCTATAACTGGCAGGTGCTGAGCTTCTATTTCCTAATTCCATGGCAGAGCTCCAAAGTGACAGCTAGAATGTTACTGCTCTCCGATGACCATTTTTTAACATTAACATAGGAATAAACTTGTTCATTGAGATTTTGACTATTTAAGGACATAAAGTTGGGAAGTTATGAAGATTCCACTACTACCAAAAAGGACTTATGAAAATAAGATCTCTACCACTGTTCCTCTAACTACTAGAAGTTATTTTTTCTAAAATCTAGCTTTATTATGAAAATTCCACCTTTCCATTGTATGAATGTTGTTTGAGAAAGTGTGGTCAAGAGAAATCTTCTAAAGAGGTGAAAATATTTTATGGACTTTTAAAAACAGGTATCATTGACATATAGTAAGTAGTATATTAGGCTTAGATACATAGTAAAATAATTCAATATTTATAAATATTGCAAAGTGATTACCTAATGAAGTTAACATCAATGTCCATATAGATCTTTGGGGTTTTTGAATATGCAACACAATATTGTTGACTACAATAGCCATGCAGCACATTATCGCCATATGACTTATTTATTTTATAAATGGAAATTATAGCTTTTGACTCCCTCACCCATTTACCCTTCACCCCATGAAACTCTCTGGTCAAACTAACCAACCTGCCCTCTGGAATCTCTATACGAACTTGGTTGTCATTTTACTCTCTTTACACATACAAGTGAGATCATAAGATATTTGTCTTTCTCAGCTGACTTGCTTCACTTATGAAGTTCCATTCACATTGCCACAAATGTTAAAGGAGCTAGAAGTACAATGCCCTCTAGCTACTAGACCCTGTCATCAAGAAACACCTCTGATCATCAAAACCAGGGCCCTAATCCATAAGAATCAGGAGGCCAGGCTCTCCTCTGAGTCAATCTAGAGCATGGAGGAAGAGGGTCTAGAGTTCTCTGTGAAAGGTTTCCAGTCAGCCTGGGATATGGATTTAATTAGATCTCTGTTGTTCAGATTGTAGCAATATGATAAACTGATAGGCATTCATTTACTGAAAGATAGAATCTCAGGGGTCTTCTGTGGCCTCCTGGGTATGTCCTATGAGTAGTAGTTATTTAAGAAAGCTTTCTCAGTTAGTTACAATCCGGTGGTACCTGCGTATAATATGTCTGCTGACCACCAGAGCAAGGTTATTGATAAAGAGGTGTTCCCTGAAGGAAACCAAAAATCCAGAGTGCCCAACCAGCCTGGAAGAATCATTCTAAAGTTTACCACTTTCAGGCAGAGAGAGACAGCACAATTTTTGTGCCCATAGGCTTTCTTCATGGAAAATGCCTCTGAAGCCCTCTAGATGTGTTTCAACTCAGAAGATTGCCTCTCAGGCCAAAAATTCTGGATAGTCTTTCTTTTTTTCCAAAGCCTGGCCTGGGGTACACTGTATGGCTGTATCTGAGCACTACCCACTACCCTGA